TACATACATACATACATACATACATATGTACATATACATATACATGTACATGTACATATAATCATGCACAAGCATATCCATAATCATGTTCACATACTTATATGCGTACATATACAGTACACACACACATATATATATATATACATACACACGCATGCACGCACACACACACACACATATATCTATCTATCTATCTATCTATCTATCTATCTATCTATCTATATATATATATCTATATATACATATATATATATATACATATATATATATATATTATCTACATTACATGGATGCATGGACGGACGGATGGAGTGGCAGACGGACAGATAGATAGATGGATGGACGGACGGACGGATAGATGGATGGATGGTTGGAAAGTATATACTTAGGCTTTCAAAGGGTTCTACATGGGCACTCCCTGATCCCCGCATTCCTGCAGAGCCTGTACTGGGCTTTCCTCCAGAGGTTGTATTGTTCACTTGTTTCTTAAGCTCAGTGCCAGGGTTTTTGGGAAAGCCGTTGCTTACGGTCTGCAGCTTCTTCATGATACGCCGCTATTCGTCTGCATGCCTTGCACGTTGCCTATTTTGGTGGTCCCTACCATCAGCATCCATCAGCGTCGTGACCAGTGCCAGCGTCGTCGTCATCAGCGCAATTATCTTCTCATCTCTTCTTAAATAATAACTGGGTCGTGACCAGTTCTACGCCTCCAGTGTCAAAGGGCTAACCCGCTCATCGTTTGGAACAGGTCGTTCTGCATGTTACGAACCTAGCATCCTTCTGTGCCTTTGGTTAAATCTAGTCACTGCGCAGCGTCTTCGGTAAGCTTCCTTTCCTATTGGTTCACAGGACGGACGACAAAGGATTGCGTAGCTTACGGCACCATGTCGTCGGTTTCGGGTGGCAGCGATGGCAGAGTTTGCAAGTGAGGGTCTTCAAATTCAGTTAGGGGGTGTATCGACCAGCGTAAGTCGTTATATCGGATGGAAGACACCAGTGGGCCTCACAACTGTCACCCTTTACATGCAGCTGCACGTGTTGTTCATGTCGGTGACGAGTCTAGTGAAGTCCACGGAAATCGGGATAATTTGTCATGCTGGAAATGATCACTGTCTCAACATGCTTGGAAAATCTATGACTCATGCCGGGAAGGTTCTCTGTCCAATTGAGAGTAGGTTTCTCTGGAATCCGGGTTGGTGGCTCACTCTCCAAGAAGCTCTCAGCCGCGAAACTGTGCACCGAGACTGTGAAAGCACATAAGGAAGGTTAGATACATTGGGGTGCAAAGTCTTGAAGACTCAGGACGGCAGTGACCTTGCAGCACTGCGTGCTGTTTTTTTTTGCAAGGTTCCCCAACATCTCTAGAAACATATGGGGTGCAAGTGCGATTCGCTTATGCAGCTGCTGGCTTATCTTCTTCACCGGAAGCTCATGACCTCCGGGGCCGTTGATCAAGCCAGTTTGCAGTTGTATGTTCCTTGCATCCAAACCGCAGGCTCGCGAGGCGCTGGAGGATACTGTGGTAGAAGACCACAGCATCAGCCCCATAGGCGTCCGATGATTCAGGATTCAGAGATCAAGGGTGTAGACATGCATGCAGCGTAGGTTGTTGTTTTTGCTGCGTTTAGTTGCTCTTGGCAAGTGCTGGTGGTTCGGGGACACCCGAAATCTCCATTCATGCGTAGACGGGTCACGGTAGCTCAAATTTAATTTGGGCACTGTTCTGCAAGCTCATAACAAGAAACGAAGTCTGTTGTAAGGAAAGTTGGAGCTGTAGCATGCGACACATGCACCGTAAGCATGCATGGCGAACAAGGTGTTGGATGGGATCATAGGCAACGTATGCATCGACGCTACCCCACCAAAAGCTTTCAGCCGCAACTTCCTGAACTTGAAGTCGGTTGATGTTGGGGGTTGGGGGATTTGTCACCTTGCTATGTTAGCTATTCCAATAGGGTGTTATTGGGACCCTCGTATGTTCAAGCATCAGGGTCCAAAGTTAGAGACTAAGAGGTGAGGACTCGTGGAAGAAATATTCATGGGCCCGGATCCCTGGCCCGTACCAATTTTGCTTTGTTGCGCTTCGGGTATGAAGTTTTTCAGATCTTCAATCATCTTCAGCTCAATATACACCCTAAATCCGAAACCCTACGTCTCGTTGAATTCCTTGACTGCGGAAAGCTGAACACCCGAGCCAGGAACCTCGCTAACCCTGAAATTGCAGTTTAGGGCATTAGATCCCAAAGTATGTTTGTTTAGAAACGCAACAACAGCGCTGACCCCAGAAGCCCTTGAATTTTACAGCAGGCCAGCCACTAAACATTCGGACCCCTACCCCTGACATCCGAAACCCTAAATCTCGAACTTACCCATTGCATGCCCCTGTCCTTGCCAGGCAACACGCAAACCAGTCCTGAGGCTCGGGCTGAGTTTTTTTTCATTTGGTGACTTGCGTTTTCTTTTATTCCAAATCGCAGATTTTCAAAATTTTGGGCTCAGGGTTCACAGGAGCTTTGGGTGCTAGGGCCGTTTACAGCCTTCAAGGTGTTAACCATGTTTTGGATATGGGGTGTTACGCTTACGGGTTTTGCAAGGTTTTATATGCAGGTCTTACGAGGTTATAGAAAGGTTTTAGGTTTTAGGGCTCTTGAACTTATGTTTACGGTTTAGGTCTTTATTGGAAGCAGGCCATCTTTGCCTATCCATGAAGTTTGTTGAGTTGAGGGTATGGCTGTTGGGACGGCTGTTCCTGCAAACCAAAGCAGTGGTGCCGTGCTGCAGGGATTTGGCTCAGGCCTTCGTGGCACTGCTCAAAGGAGCAGGGCACTCAGTAGATAGGCTACAAGCGCAGTTATAGGCACCCTAATTGTGACTATCCTACCTTCAACTTTCCTTTTGTCCTACCCTAGTTTAGATAGCTATCTGGACTGATAAGGTAGATAGTTCAGATAGATATGAGATAGATATCATATACGGGTATTTCCGCTGGAGCCCGAAAAACGGCTGGTTTATGTTAATTACCTTAAACTGCATGCGTCAGGTATGCCCCCCCCCATCGCAGGCTCTGAACCAACGTACCTAAGCCTTAATCCCCGAAGCTAGGCCCTAATCCCTAAACCCCCCAAACGCAGGCTCTGAACCCTGAACCCTCATCCCTGAAGCTAGACCCTCATCCCTACACCCTAAACCCCCAAACCGCAGGCTCAAAAGGCCCATCCTCAGCGCTGTGCTCTCCCCTGCTCTGGCCATGCAGATCTTCGTGGAGACTCCGACAGGAAAAAGGCCCCTAGGTTCGAAACTGGTGCTTAATATAGGGGCCTCAATAATTACCTATACTATTTTGGGGTTCCTTACCCTACTTAGACTCTACTTATAGTAAAAGATAAGGCCTAAACAATTACCTATAATATTTGGGGGGTCCTTACTATATTTATAGCAAAAGAAAAGGCCTAAATAAATACCTATACTATTTTGGGGGTTATTATAATTATGGTACGGTATACCCCAAAACCCTATTCTAATTATTAAGGCCCCTACAGTAACCGCCCTTCAAGTTCAAAACGGGGCCTTACCCCGTGATCACGAAAGCTAGCTCTGTGGAGCTTGTGGGACTTGTCGCTCGCCTTTTGCACTTAGATAGTAGAGAACTAGGTCAAAATTGCGTGCCAGACCTTATCTGGTCCGTTCACACGCACCCTGAAGCTACAGTCCCTTCTGCAGGTCCCCAATCCTAGACCTCTATCCGCTAAAACCTTGCCGGCAAACTCCTGGACCTAAACTCGAAACCCTGTATCCCTAAACCCGAAAGCCCTATACTCCTTTGCCCTAAAGGCTTAAGTCCCAATTCCTAAGCCTTGAAACCGTCCACCTTGATGGTTAACACCAAACCTGATACACCGAGGGAGTACTTTAACGCCAACGTATATACTTATACTACACGTGTACCTGGACCCTTTGCAAACAAGGCGCTAAACCTTAAAAGCACAACTTAAAGGACTAATTGAGACAAACCCCGTAAACATCATATGAGCCCTTATAGAACCCTGTATAGAAGCCCTATTAGCTCTAGTTCCCCAGACCCTCCCTTGTGATTCCTCCGCCCAAAGGGTCCTAAGTCCCTAAATCGTAGAATGTAGGGCTTCTATATTAGGAATCATTCTTATGATTTTGGAAGCTGTCCCCGCAACAGTACCTAGGACCGTTTGGGTTTGGGTCCTACACCCTAAGCCCTAGACCCTGGGACCCTTTGGGTTTGGACCCTAAACCCAAAACCCTAAAGTCGGTATCATTAATTTGGGAAAGTATCGGGTTTAGGGTTTAGGGTTTAGGGTTTAGGGTTTAGGGTTTAGGGTTTAGGTAAGACTCTAATCCCCAAGCCCTAAACCCCCAAACCTCAAACCCTAAACCCCAAGGCTTCAACCCTAGACCCTACAACCCCTTGATTTCAGGTGGCCGATTACAAACTCCCCGACGGCTGCACCCTGACCTGGCCCAAGATCCGCGGCCCTCTGCCGGGGTTCAGGGCTTAGGTCTTAGGGCCTCTATTTCTTTATGGAAGATAGATAGATAGATAGATAGATAGATAGATAGATAGACAGACAGATAGATTTCGGTTGAAGGTTCAAAGTTTTAGTGTTTTGGGTCTTGGTATTTAGGACTTAATGTAAGCTTTAGGTTCAGGTATGATATCCAGCTTCAACGAGAAGCCTTGCGTTGATTGAGTTCCGGGGTTTTCAGCTTCAGCCTTTGGGGATATCCTTGGTGCACTTTGTTCACTTTCTGAGAGAAGAGCAGCTGGCTGGCCACCACAGCCGCTGCAGAATGACGTCGATAGAGTTTCATAGCTTTGACTTTTGTCTTTTAAGGCTCAGGGAGCGTCTTTCGATGCAATCTTGGCCCCAAATACCCTTGAACCAGTTCATGCATGGTCTGTTCGGCCGAATTGGACCTAAGCTTAAGGGAATCGGTGCTTGTTGCTTACTTGCGCAGTGCCCCCAGCCATGCTGAGAGCTTCTTGCTTCTTGCTGGCAGCAGCTTTTTCCGCTGGCGCGCCGCTGGATCATCTGGTGACGGATTTGCCTGGCCTCCTGGAGCCGCTCCGAAGCAAGGCCTATGCAGGTCTCGTGCACGTGCCTGCACGAAGATATAACTGCAGCTGGGGTGGGGGGGCAGGAGTGTCACCGGCTGTGGACGCTTTCTATTGGTATTCGGAGTCTGAAAGAGCTCCCGAAGAGGATCCCCTCATTCTTTGGCTGCAGGGTGGTCCTGGGGGCTCATCCTTGTTTGGGGGCTTTGTGGAGATGGGACCTCTGAAGCTGGATGACAGGTCTTACTACTCATGGAAATATAATGCCACAGGTATACCGTCACCGATTGGAAACGAATTCAGTTGGACTGCCTTCGCTGGGCTGATCCTTCTGGAATATGCCGACATTGGCTTCTCCTCATGTCATATGCAAGACACAGCGCAGGGTCGATGCAAATGGAGCATTGCCTCGGCTGTAGAGGCCATCGTTGGATTTCTTGTTACATTCTTCGACTTGTTTCCCGAACGACAGGATCGACCGCTTTGGCTTGCTGGTGACTTTCGTCCTCTTCGGAATTATGTTTTGTGCTTATTATATCAAAAACTCTAAGGGGGTGTATGAGATATTATTCTTATCATGGTTCCAGGGGCGCTTAAGGTGAGAGCTTTGCCGGAAACCTTGTCGTGGCCGTGGCAACGGCCTTGCACTCTTTGGGGCCCGAGATCAAAGTTCAGCTTGCAGGCGTGCTGCATGGAAGCTCTGTCACAGATAGGTAACATCTTACATGTTGTTGAGTAGTACTTAAACTCTGTAAGGAATAGACATGGAATTTGTTAAGACTGTCCCAGCCATGAACCAGGAAATGCTGCGGTGGGGGACTATCAAGGTGTGGTCACTCCCTTCGACCATCTGAAGGGTGGGCCGCCGCTCACCACTGGAGACATGGGCCCCTTCGATGTCCAAGGACACGTGGATTTTTGGTGGCGGACAGGGCTGACTTCCTCAAAACTCTACCACAGCGTGCAGAAGGCCTGCCCTTCGCTTGGCCAGGCAAAGCCTGATGGAAGATGTATGAAGCCGGGACTCCAATAGTACGACTTTTACACTTTTTCTTTCGGTCTCCTGATTAGGGTCCTTAGTAATTGGAATAAGGTTTTGGGGGCTCCTTGTTAGAATTATAAGATACTGTACCCCAAACCCTATCCCAATTATTAAGACCCCTATATGACCCTCATGCGTAAGAGCTTACTGGGGAACCAAGGAAGCTTTTGCGGCACATGAAGTCACGCATTGGCAACTTTGAAGAACTGGGCACAGGTGCCGCATGGTGGAATGTCTACAACATCTACGATACTTGCAGCGACATGCCACATGTGCAAAGGCATGGACCCTCCGACGCAGCAGAGGCGAAACTTGCAAGTCTGGAGTACAGTGCCACGTGGGTATGTGGTGGCATCCGCGCTCTGGAGGATTACTTCAACCGTGCAGATGTGCAAGACGCCATCCATGTGAAACGCACCACCAATTGGACGGTGAACGATGACGGCATCCGATGGCATCATCCTGCAACAGGAATCTCATTTGTAAACGAAATCAAGCAGCTCGCCATGAAGTATCCGTTCCTTGCATATAGCGGTGACATTCATGCGCAGATACCCCACACTGCCACCGAACTGTGGACAAATTCCTTGGGCTTTGAGGAACTGGAGCCATATCAGAAATGGACGCTGGATAAGTACGTCCAGGGCTACGTGACAAGGTATGAGCACAACTTCACATTCGCGACGGTAAAAGGTGGGGATGTTTGAAAGCATGGGAACCCCTGGGCGAGAGGTATTCTAAGGAACGTTGTGAAGTAAGTACCAGGGATTTTGTAGTCACAATAAAGAAAATGGAACAATCTTGTCTCTCAACAATGTAACAACATATTAAGTTTCTGACCGATACATATCAACGATAGATGCAGACCTGAGTGGCTTTCTTTGATATACACCCAGGTGCTGGTCACATGGTCCCACTGCACCGCCCGGCCGCCGCGCAGGAAATGGTCTCTCGCTTCGTCGCAGAGCGGTCGCTGCTGGCCCAAGAGCGGCGAACTGAGAAGCAAGATGTGGCCAGCTGGAAAAGCGACAGACAGTGTCCGGGTTTCGGAGTTCGAAGCGATCTTGCTTTAAGTGCTTCTAAGGGTTGACTTAGGGTTAGGGTATGTAGGAACCAAACCATGGTCCTAGAGCTTCTGTCAAAAAGTTGAGGTGCCAAACCCGAGGACTCTTGGGTAATAGATCACGGGTTTATACGCTCCAAGCCCTTGGGGTTTTATGGCTTTGTTCTTGATCGCTGGGATCCTTGGAAGTAACCCCCAAAATTTTAAACCGAAGCCCTAAACATTGAAGTTGTGACATTAGGGTTTACGGTTTAGGGTTGGGGGTTGTTCATCCGAGGTAGAGATCGTTTGCGACCTATCTCAGGGTTTTGGGATTTTGGAGTTTTGGGGTCACGCCTGAACGAGATGATACGTGCAGTCGCATGGTGAGGGTACCGGTGAGGTGACATTAAAGCCCATGTTCCAGAACGGATAACGATAGAGGCAGTTAGGTAGTACGGTTGATGGTATAAATTCTGCATTACACATAAGTCAGGAATATGCCATAATTCCCATAGTTTAGGGTCCTTAAGTTAATGCAGGATTTATATCATCAACCGTATTGGCGAGGCCTGGGTGACGGCTGAGAACCTCATTGCGACCCTCACCTGGCGAAAATCCTCTGTTTGGGCACGAATGCTGATTCCAACTGACCCGCTCTTGTTTGCCAGGTAATATGGCGGCCTAAATAATTACCAATTCTTCTCTGGGGGTTCCTTATTCTAACTACAACTATGGTATGACATACACCAAGACACGACTGTAATTATGCAGGCCTCTATATGACCTTGCTCTGCCAGTTGACAGTCAATCTGTCGGACATGTATTTGAGTCCCTTTCAGGGTGCTCTATTGCAACAGTGACAGCCCTCATATTGAGGCCCCCGGGACGAGCCTTCGGGGCATCCAGCCAAAGAAGCGGGAAGCACGTCTGCAAGGGGCAAAAGGATAGAGTTTCTGGAAGTTCCAGGCGGAAAAAGGACGGAGCTTGTCGAAACCCCTAAACCCTAGACCCTAAACCCTAACTCCAAAACCCAAAACCCAAAACCCAAAACCCTAAACCCTAAACCCTAAACCCTAAACCCTACACCCTAAACCTTAAGCCTCCGTCCTTGAAAGTCAAGTCAGCTGCCAGAGAGGCTTCCTCCACCCCGCGGCGGCTCGAGGCTCAGTGGAAAGGCAGCGGAGTTCGCAGGCTTGCCTGCCAGATTGGTCGGGTTTAGGGCTTTAAGGGCTTTAAGGGTTTAGGGGTTTTAAGGGTTTTAAGGGTTTTAAGGGTTTTAGGGGTTTTAAGGGTTTTAAGGGTTTTAAGGGTTTAGGGGTTTAGGGCTTTAAGGGTTTTAGGGGTTTAGGGGTTTAGGGTTTAGGGGTTTAGGGTTTAGGGGTTTAGGGTTTTAGGGTTTTAGGGGGTTCGGGGGTCTAGGGGTTTAGGGGTTTAGGGTTTAGGGGTTTTAGGGGTTTAGGGGTTTAGGGGTTTAGGGGTTTAGGGGGTTTAGGGGTCTAGGGGTTTAGGGGTTCAGGGGTTTAGGGGTTTAGGGGTTTAGGGCCTAGGGGTTTGGGTTTAGGGTTTTAAGGTTTCTCCCGTCGTTTGCCTTGACAGGGAGGGAACAGAGG